GGGGGATCCGGGATCCGGAAGGTTTGGGAAGGGGAGGGTTGGGGGGGGGGATTTTGGGGAGGGGGCTCGGGATCCGGAAGGTTTGGGGGGGGGAGGTTGGGTTTAGGGGGGATTTGGGATTTTGGGGACGGGGGCTCCGGGATCCGGAAGGTTTGGGGGAAATTTGGGTGTTTGGGGAGTTCGAGATCCGGAAGTTTTGGGGGAGATTTGGGATTTTGGGGAGGGGGCTCGGGATCCGGAAGGTTTGGGAAGGGGAGGTTGGGGTTTGGGATATTGGGATTTTGGGATTTTGGGGAGGGGGCTCGGGATCCGGAAGTTTTGAGGGGGATTTGGGATTTTGGGGAGGGGGCTCGGGATCCGGAAGGTTTGGGGTTTTTTTTGGGGGTTTGGGGAGGGGGGCTCCGGGATCCGGAAGTTTTGAGGGGAATTTGGGATTTTGGGGAGGGCGGATCAGGATCTGGAAGTTTTGGGGGGGATTTGGGATTTTGGGGAGGGGGAAGTTGGGATCCGAAAGTTTTGGGAAGGAGGAGGAGTTTGGGATACAGGGTGGTTTTGGGGATTTGGGATTTGGGGAGGATTTGGGGTTCAGCAGAATTTTGGGACATGGGGGGGGTTGAGACGTTTTGGGGTGCGGGAGTTTTTGGGATTTTGGGATCCGGGGACGATTTGGGGTACGGGGGGGGGTCTCCAACACCCCAAAATTCCCTTTTTGCTGGGGGAGGGGGAGAAGGGTTTGACAACCCCACAAATTTTGGGGTTCGTGGTCCTGGGGGGGTCCCAGCCCCCTTCCCTTCCCAAAATCCCCACGAGCTTTTTTGGGGCAAGATCTCCCCAAAAACCCCAAATATCAAAACCCCTTTTCCTGTTTTTTTTTTAGGGTGGGGGTTGGGACTCCCATCCCGGATTTTTGGGATGGGAATTTTGGGATCGGGAAGGATTTTAGGGCCGGGGGGGCCCCTCCCGGGGGGGCTCGGGGGCCCCATCCCACCCTCACAACTCCCCAAAAACCCCAAATATCAAACCCCCTTTTCCTGTTTTTTTTTAGGGTGGGGGTTGGGACTCCCATCCCGGATTTTTGGGATGGGAATTTTGGGATCGGGAAGGATTTTGGGGCCGGGGGGGCCCCTCCCGGGGGGGCTCGGGGG